ATAAGATTTTATCTTCTTCTGCTACCTTTCATTTAATGTATGCTTTGTATTTTTGTTGTATGTTGAATTTATTTTGTTGTTTTTTTTTAAAGAAATGAATAAACTAACTGAATAAACTGAATAAAAAGAAGTTTGATGAAGAAACTGAGGGTCAATCTCAACAGTGAGCGTAATTTTATTTTCAAGCTTTGACCAAAATGGCTCTATTGTGGTCCTCTTTCAAWGTAAGATGATCTCAGTCTCTTCATCAAATGCTAGAGTATTAATCAGTCTGCATTTGAGCAGAAACTGTAACCATTTTAATTACAACAACATCAGGTGACATTTTATTACAACCGATTTGATATTTGTGTGTTTCTAAAGGCAACCAGACAAGCTGAGGGTGGTGTGGACCAGAAGGAACAGACGCATGTGTTCCAAGGTAAAACTTCCAAACAGCAACATTCCTCATTATTTTTACATTTTCTCTTAAAATCCCTTATAAAATCCTGCCTGGGTCTTAAGCCCATGGGACCTGTGAGGACCTCGGTTTAGTCTGCACAGCAACATAAGAAACTCATCATTGTGCTGTCAGTTTAAAGTGCCCCTAGCATGTAAAAAGTGAAACACTCACTTTTGTGTTTTTGTGAGGGCATTCACTTTTGTAATGCATTCCCCTGCTTAGTACCTAATTCCACCTTCAACCTAAATGTAATTCTCCTGAACAGAGTTAAAGTTTTTTAAGTGCAGCAACATGAAAACCAATCAGAGGTCCTCCTTCAAACTGTTTAAAACTAACATCCAGTTTGTTGTGCAGCTCCACAGTTGGCAGCCTGGGATCAAGAACCCCTACAGAGGCATGGTGGTGTGGCCCGTCCCAGAAAACATCGACATCTCTGTTACTCTGTTCAAGGTAACGAATGTTTCCAATAAGCACCTACAGATGGGTGACAAAGTAGAAGCTTTGGCTGTACGGATTTGAATAAATTTATTCAAATCTTTATTACAGACTCATGGTCCACAGAACAAAGACAAGAGAAGCAGATTAACAATAAAATCCAAGAAAAAACAAAACAAAACAAAAAATAACTATAAAAGACAGCTGTACCAGTACCTCCACAACTGGGACTGGTAACGTGTTACACTGAGTCTTATGTTAATCAAGCTCATAATAATTAAATTACAGCATGCATTGGCACAACCAATAAATTTAAACATGAAATTTCTTAAAAGAGCCCGAAAATTTTTGAGCCCAGTTGTCACAAAGAGTTGACTAGCACTTTCCCATCTTGGTTTCTTCAGTTTGAGTCTGAGGCAATCGTAAGTCACGTTAAGTTTACTCATGCTAGCTCTCTTGTAGTTAGACCACAAATGTGCAGTATATAAAGGTGTGCGGTAGGCCTTAAACAGAGAAATCTTTACCTCATCAGTACAAGCACCAAACCTTTTGATGAGCATATTAGCCTGTCCGTACAGCAGGCGACACTGCCTGTAAATATCATCATCATCAGTCAGGTCTTCAGTGACAAAATGCCCCAGATATTTGACTTTATTACTCACAGTCAGACTATTTCCACATAATAAAAACTGAGGAAATCTCACATTTTTGTCATCCTTAGTCCTGCTGATCATGACAACACTTTTACTGGCATATATTATATCATGTTCCATGCCATACTCAGAACAAATATTTAAAAGTTCTTGGAGTCCTGCACTACTGGGACTGAATCCAACAAGATCATCTGCATACATCAAATGATTTACAAGGGTAAACCTAATAGCACAACCAGTTKTACATGCATTTAGTCTCTGTGACAGATCATCCATAAAAAGATTAAAAAGAGCAGGAGATAATAATAAACTAAATATTCTCTAATATTCTCACTATGTGCCTSGGGACGCCTCGCTGATACATCTTAGCAAACAGCTTCTTATGATTTATGTGATCAAATGCCTTTGATGCATCAACAAAACACGCAAGAACAGAAGAGTTTTGGCTCATATTTCCTTATTATTTCTTTCAAAGCAAAAATACATAAATCTGTGCTGTTTTGCTTTAAATCCAAACTGATTATCGGAAACTTTAATTAACCCCTGAATCCTATTTAACAAGATCTTTTCCAAAACCTTGGACATAATACTTGCTAACGCAATAGACTGGTAGTTATCCAGTTATCCAGACCACCCACTCTACCAGCTTTGTCCTTAATCACAGGGACCAAAACGATAGACAAGAGAGAGTCARGCAGCACACCATGTACCAAAAAACTGGAAAAGCATAAAGCCAGAAGAGGAGCTAGTCTAAAACTGGCATGCTTCAAATGCTCAGCATACACGCCATCAAGACCACATGCTTTATCATCAGGCAACTGTTTTATGGCCTGAAATACCTCATGTGTCATAATAACCATATGCTCATCTGTACCAACATGTTCCTCAATAACTGGATCACTAGATTGAAAACAAATTTTATTTTTTGTTATTTCCCCTTCAGGAACTCAACGCTGAACAGTTTGAAGACAAAGAATGGACATTTGTCCTCGAGGGTGTATGTATCGCTTTAAATCACAAGTCATTAAACAAACATTTATTTGGTATCTTTCTTAGTTAACAGGAAGGGATAAACTAATACACAGTAAATCACTTTAATTACATCAAATTTTTACATTCAGGAGAGCAAGGGTCACCGTAAGGTGCTGGCCTCTGCTGACATCAACCTGAAGCGATTTGCCAGTCCGACTCCAACCCAGACCAACCTCACCCTGACCCTGAAGCCACTGTCGGTCAAAGTGGTGGAGGCCACACTCAAACTGTCGCTGTCGTGTGTCTTTGTTCGAGAAGGAAAAGCCACGTGAGTCATTTACATTTCTGCTGCAACCAACTCCACAGATTTATCAACGTGTCTTTGTATACATATAAGTGACCATGGGGTGGGGGTGTTAATATGATTTTCCCAGGAACATAGTTCAATTTTTTATCACAATCAAGTAACTTTGTTACCTTCAGTTATCCTGAAAATCGTATCAAAAAATATATTAGAATTTGCATCATCTATCTAAACACCTTGAAATTGACCTCTGTCTCTTTAAGAACCTCCTACTGTTTCCAACACTTTACAATAATGATTTGGGGGAGGGGTGCTCAGTGGGGCGGGAGCTCGGCTGCAGACTGAGCTACAGGGAGGAGCTTTGAGTAAATAGGCGGGGCTTTGTATCTGAAGGAATTTTTTACTTAGAAACTGATTTAGAAGCACCACACTATATTCATAGTTTTCCTTTTTAAGTATTGATATTTAATCTATTGTTTGACTATTGTTATGTCTTGATTAAAATAGCGTTAGCTACATGCCTGAAACAAAATGACAACACATAATAATAACCGTTGACACATACAGGAAAGGTTTTTTTGTCGGAGTGTCTGCGTTTCAGCTGTAGGCCAGTAGTGGGCGCACCAGGCACTGAAGACACTGAATAAAATGGCCGGAAGTTCCGGTTTCAGGTAGCGCATCTTGGTTTCTCCAGTTGGGAGCAATAAAGCTTTGCTCATAACCAGTTCTGGGTTGTATGGTTCCAATTCTTTTTACATTTTAATCCATTCAATATTTTGTGGTTTCGTCTCAATTCCATATTAACGAACACTAAATTTAATTACATATCAACAAATGTTTAGTCAGCAACACATGACTACCACAGGAGATTCAACGATTTCTCAAACATACATGAATGAGTGGAAGCAACACTTTGGGTATGTTTTTGAGGAGGGAATGACATTAAAACATCATATAAAGCTATTAAAAAATGATTATGCATAATACCCTGCCCTCTTAAAKTTAAAGGAATCCCAACACATAAAGGAAGTAAAAAACTTAAAGTAGCAAAAGGTAGCTAAAAATAACAATGTGCTAACTCAAAATTAAAGCACCGTAAGGCTAAAAAAAGCTAAATTTAGCAAAATGTTTAAAACTGGCTAAAATAGAGCAAACTATTTAGATTGCAAATAAACAGGAGARCAATGACTGCTAAATTAGCATTCACATAAACATATATAATTTTGTGTCAGATGAATTTAGATGACGTATTWATGATGGTATGAACGTTTGTTCTTGTTTCTAAGTGATGAAGACATGCAGAGTCTGGCCAGCCTGATGAGTGTAAAACCCACTGATATTGGCAACCTAGACGACTTCAATGAAAGTGATGAAGAGGAGGACAGGAAGTCTGCTGCTGCAGGTAAGAGACTTCCTCCTGATTTTTGATGTTATTCATTTCCACCCATCGCAGCCCTGATATTTCCATCTTCTCTGCTCTCTCTTATTTTCCTGTCTTTTCTTTTGCTTCACTCCTACTTTTTATGACCACCAACCTCTGTAGTTCCTCTAACTCGTCCAAACCGCCCCGCTCCCCCTCCACCTGACAAGCCAACCCCCACCGGAGCCACATTCCCAGCTTCAGGTAGCTCCATCTTTTCTGTCGCTCTGCCAGAGACATGGTCTGTCTGTCTGTCTGTCTGTCTGTCTGTCTGTCTGTCTGTCTGTCTGTCTGTCTGTCTGTCTGTCTGTCTGTCTGTCTGTCTGTCTGTCTGT